AACAAATGAGAGAGGGAACTCACGGACATGGCCAACAGCGATGCTTGCCGGGCGGCGGCGAGGTGGAAGCGGGCATAGAGGGGAGAAATGGTGATGGGCAAAAACAGATCGTAAGTAAAGTCAGGGGGGAAAAGTTTTAAATTTTGTTGAAACCTATTTTTCCTAAACCGACATGACCTAGAAACATTTTCACACAGCGCATAGCAAATCTATCATGAATTAGTACTCTAGACTTAGCCTGAGTTTCTAATTTCAAGTATATTTTATAAATTTTTAGATATTTTTTTAATTTTAAAAAATCTTATGCTCTCAAAGCAAAGATCTCTTACGGGTTCATTCAGCATAATTTATTTTCTTTTTCAAACAATTTTTAGTGTCCAGATTAGCTACTGGAAGGACTGACATAAAGAATAGAGGCTTATCCGTTATTCTCTAGAGCAGAGCGATGAGTGGGTCTTACAGAGGCCGGTTGAAGGGGAAAACCAATAGCGCCGCCCCGTGGAACCAGCCACCTTGTGACACAGTGAGCCGTCCACCCGGGGGCGCTGAAGGCCAGGCTAGGTACCCCCTCCAGGGCACAGAGAGGGAATTCTGTGTTGGGTGGCTGCCTGGGCTAATTAGCTTACGTCTCCCAGTTTGTGAGCCTATACGTACTTTGAAATCCTGACATCAAAGGTGATATATAAGTGAAAAGCGTCATTCCCAGAAGTCATTGGTTCGGTCATGTGTTTTATTCTTGAAAGGTGACACTTTCACGTATGAGGATATTGAGAAAAATGTCCTGCAGTATCTCCACGATGGCTCCTCTGCACAGGAAGACAGCATGGAGATCTCGGTCACAGATGGCCTCTCAGCGACCACCGTGAACCTGAGAGTGCAGGTGTCCGGGCCAGCGGCCCGAGCGCCTCGGCTGGCTGCCGGGGCCTCTCTGAGCATGAGCGTCGCTAGCGAGAGCACAGCCGTAATCACTAGATCGCACCTCGCTTACGTCGTAAGTGCTCCGCCTGCCCCGTTCTCTCTGGCCGGGCTCACTAGCGGGCAGTGGCGGGCCCGGGCACCTGGGGCTCCGGGCGTGCGGCCCCTCAGGGACTCCTTTCCCAGCTGTCCTGCAGCTCCGCTCTTTGGAACAGTTACTCTCTCTGCCAGCGGCTCTCGGTGTCTCACCACAGGCAAGGGGATGAGCAAGCCTTGGTGAAAACATGAGTGTGTGTAGAGATGGGTGACTGGCAACAGGAAACAGTGCCAGTGTCCAAAAGGCCCAAGTCCCCATATTTTAAATTCCATCCATAATGTTTCAAATGAGGATGCTGTGGAAAGAACATGTTAGAAGAACTTACCTGGTCAGTGACTGATAGGTAACGGTGCTTCATGGCCCGCGTTTCTGAGAGGAAGCCCCCCTCTCACCAGCGTTGGCCTCACCCAGCTCTCGACAGAAGCCTGGCTCAGCCCCTGGCGGTGCCCCTGCCGGACTCCCGGGCCGGGTTTCTCACTCAGCCTCCATTCTGGGCCCCAGGAGAAGCAGGGCGGTTGAGGGACCAAGGGTGAGTTCATGGACCTTAGGTTGGTTTTTCCTCATCTGCCCTTATCTTGATAAGTGATCCTTCTTAACTGAACTCATCTTCTTTCTTTGATTTAGCTCAGGTGCTAAGGATACTGAGGCTAATTCATTTTATTTTTCAATTATGTATGTTGTAAACAGATATGAACTCAATAAGTAAACATAATAATGAGAAGTTTGGACAAATGCCTTGAAAATAAGAATGTTTATCCGAATCGTAGTCGTTCTTCGTATTGAATTTTTTCTCTACTAATCTTAAAATTCCAGCCCATGACCAGGCCTTTTTTAAATTTTATTGATTTTCTAGAAAGAAGAAGGGAGAGAGGGAGAGAGGGAGAAAGAGAGAAAGAGAAACTTTGATCTGTTGCTTCCCACACACGCCCCTACTGGGGATGGAATCTGAAACCTGGGTATGGGCCCTGACCGAAAATCGAACCCGCCACCTTCTGATGTATGGGATGACTCTCAACCAGCTGAGCCACCCGGCCAGGGCAGCCTTAAAAAAAAACCACTATGTAGTTTTAAGTAATCCTTTACTGGGGTAAAGAGTCTGGCTATAAAGTCTAGTCCTGAGTAGTGGCATAAAAGATAAAGCAGTGGCCTGGGAACAATTTCTTTAATTGCTTTTGCACAGATTTTCCCTTCAGATTGTCTTTTCTTAAATTATGGGAAACTGTATTCCATCCTATTCTTCTCATGGGTCTAGTACAGTTTCAGAACAGTTTTGATTTTGTTTTTGTTATTTTAATTGACAGGTGATTTTTACCATAGGTTATGGTCTTGAATTTTATGAAACTCATGAATTCACAAAAATGTATGAATACAGATTTAATCAATAGATCACCAAGGCTTGAAAAATGTTTGACAGACCAAAATTGTACTCCAGGAGCAGTTCCTGCCCATTAACTGCATATTATAAGCTGCATATAAAATGCAAGCCCATTGGCAATTGAATGTGTATTTTCAGAAATTGATTGAATGTGAATTTACCCACTAGAGCAGAAAGAACTGTCCTAGCCTGCTGAAAGCATAGCATATTTTAAAGACTTAGCTAAGGCATATACTAACTTTCTCTGAGGGCTGTAGAAGAATTTTATACTTAGTGTAATGGGGAAATTTTTTCCAGATACGCATAGTTAGTGAGTTGGCAGTGAACATCCAGAAAGGTTGGAAAAGCCATATGAAATCTGGTCATAAATGAAGCAGAATATAAAGGGATAGGAGGAGGTGAGCCTATTCTTAATTAGAGTTCATTAATGAGATGTTGGGAGAGACATAAGATAGAAATGGGATTCTGTGTGATTTGCTTATTAATGGTGATTCCTTTTACACAGTTTGCTATGCACTACAACTAAACAGGAAGGGAGGGGTGGGACTTTGTAGTTAGAACAGATGTAGGTTTTAATCCAAGCTCAACACTTACTAGCCTAGAAACCCTTAGCAAATTACTTAACTCTCTAGGACTCAATTTTTTTCATCTATAATATGGGGAGAATGGTATAAGATTGGTCTTAAAGTGTTAATAGTGCTTATATGTACCAGCCAAGCTACAATAATTCAAAATATGATACCATCTGTCATAAGATTGCATAACACACATCTAGGAATAAATGTAACAAAAGATGTGTAAATTCTAGGGATAATGAATGCTAGGACTGACTATAAAATCCAAAAGAATCTTTTTGACAAAGTACTAGAAATAAAGGGAGAATTTACCAAGAGACCAGACAGATCAACAAAGCAAGAGCATTGCTATACATAAGCAAAAAAGAGCCAGTAAATGTAACTAAAAAGATGACACCTCTTATAACAGCATTACAAAAATCACGTTTGTTGGACAAAATCTAACAAAAACCGGACAGTCCTTCTGCAGGGAAAATTTATCACTTCACTGACGAGACATTTTAAAAAGCACTAAATAAGTGATATGTTTGCCATTTTCATGAGTAAGAAGATTTAGTGTCGGAAAGATTTCAATTCTCCCACAAAATGATCTTTCTATTGAACTGAGATTCAATCAAAAAACCCAATGGACTTTTTATAGCTCTTGATAAGCTGATTTTATAATATATAAGGAAGAACAAAGGGCCAAAATTTTGAAAAAGTATGATAGGAGGGCAGGCGCTTGCCCTATAGTATCAGGATTGAGTATAAAGCTGCACTATTTAAAGCAGTGTAGCACAGGAATCTACTGGAGAGTCCAGAAACACACCCACACGTGGAACCATAATATAAAACGGATATAGCAAGCTGGATCTGTGGGAACAAGAGAAACTGATTAAGACATGGATCTGCACAAAATGAGTATTTGTATGGAAAAACAAAAACACTTGTATCGCTACCTCACACCGTACAGATACTAACTCCAGGCAAATCAAGTACTTAAATGTCATAAGCAAAATTTTATAATTCTTTTTAGGGTAGAGGTGAATATTTCTATGACATTGGGAAAGGGAAGAATTTCTTAAACTAGAAACAAAAAGTGCTAATTCTAAAGAAAAGATTGATAAATTTGACTATATTTAAATTAAATTTGTTTCCCAAAACAACATAAATACAGAAAACAGACAAGTTAAAAGTTGGGAAAAGGTATTTGTAACACATATAACCAAAAATAACAGAGAATTAAGATAACATGCACAGATCAAAAAGAAAAAGATAATCCAATAGGAACATGAACAAGAGACATTCACAGGAATTTCAGAAGATGAACTCCTAGGGCCAGTGCATCTAAGAAGAGATACACACGTTTTTGTCATTAGGGAAAGCAAATTAAGACTACATAGCACCTTATACCTGCTACATTGGCAGAAATTTAAAAATTGGACAACACCCAAATGTTGGAGAGGAAATGGGTCTGCGGGTAGTTTTTTATCTTTGCTGATGGAAGTGTAACTGGAATGACCATTTTGGGATGAATGTCATATATCTTAACCATTTCACTCCTAGATTCTATGCAAGAGAAACTTACACATTTACGCCAAAGGATATGCACAAGAACATTCATAGTAATATCATTTGCAATATCAAAGCCAAATAAATGCCCATCACCAGGATAACAGATAACTTGTAGTACACTTCCTCTGTGGAATGTTAGAGAACACTCAAAACAGATGAACTACTGCTACACAAAACAATATCGACGGCTCTTAGTACTCCACTATTAAGTAAAAAGAAAAATAAATCCCACAAGAGGAGAGTCTAACTCCTTGTTCATAAGCATTAAAAAAAACCCACAAAAAAACAACAACAACACACACACTAAAATACTTTGTAGTAATCTATCAAACTATATCATGAAATTCAAGGAAATGAGAACTGATTAAAATCTGCTGCCTCCAGATCACCACCTACACGTATCCCTGCTCACATTTCTGACCCAGGACCTCAACTAACTGTACAACAGCTGTGAACATTTGCATTTGAGAGAACACCGAGCCATGCAGTGTTCGTCTTCATTGTTGCTGTGGTAGAGTGTCAAGTGCCCCCGTGTTCACATCAAGGGCTCTGAAAGATGAATAGCTAAAGAGAACCTCCCAAGAAGATGTTGCCTACCTTCTAGACATTTCCAAAAATATCCTTGAAGAAAGAGGAAATTGTTCATTAAGACATTCAATTTTCATCCATGTAGAAACACAGAAAACAAATTTTTATTTCCCAATAAGCAATGCAGAAGGAAAGGGAAATGGTCTTTTCAGTGATGGAATGAAACCCATAACATTCCCTAGATTCTGTTCAACTAAAAATTTTACCATGTTCAACATTAAAGTGAGTCATTGGCTGAGCAAAGTAACTTCCATTCTTTGTTTTGCAGAACTTTGCCATTGTATTATATGTTATAAGGGAATTTTACCTGTTTCTGAAAAGGAAATCATCCTCAGAAACTCTAGAAAGAAAGCTACAGCTGTGTTTTTAGAAAGAGGACTTATATCTCTGGCCATGTTTTGTTTTTCACAAATGCTTGTAATCAAAACAAAACCCTGTGCCGCTCTTATAGTAACAATAGGGCATCTCTGTTTTATGCCTCACGCCCAAAGTGCATTTCCCCACTATTATCCTGAGCTACTCTTGAAAAAAGAGATTATCAAAAAGGCATTTTAGGAGGAGTAAGTACTAGGATTTTCATGCAGTTTGAAATGATGTTGCTTTGTCACAGACGGAAAGAGACTTTTCCAGTTAGCAGAGAAGGAAGCACCTTGATCTTGAACTACTGAAGTATTTATTTCTGCAAATGTGCATTCATGTCTTACCTCATATTTGCCTGATTAGGACGATTCTTCCCCCGACTCAGAGATCTGGATTCATTTAAGTTCTCTGCCCATGTATGGGACTCTTTTAAGAACCTCAGGGCCTGAAGTGGAAGAAATCTCAGAGGTTGCCAATTTCACAATGGAAGACATCAACAACAAGAAAATTAGGTTTGTAAAAATTGTATTAAAATAGTTAACCTTGATTTTGAGTGGCAAAAACACGCAATTCAATATATAGATGATATATTACAAAACTGTACACTTGAGGACCCATATAATTTTATTAACTAACTAATGTCACCCCAATAAATTTAATAATTTTTAAAATGTGGAACGAAATTTTTTAAAAAGTTAGTAACTCACCAGTAGCTCCCTTGAAAGATTATATTGCTTCTGGCCCCATTTTTAAACAAAAAAGCAGTTGTCTTACTTAACATCTCCGTGTAACTCATATGATTCTTCTCTTGGCCTCTAGGTACTCAGCTGTGTTTGAGACCTACGGTCAGCTGATTACTGATAGCTTCCATTTCTCCGTGTCTGATATGGACCACAACCGCCTGGAAAATCAGATGTTCACCATCATGATCACTCCTGTCAAGAATCCACCTCCAGTCATTGCTTTTGCTGACCTTATCACGGTAAACAGTTCTCAGATCAATAAGCAACGAGTGCTACAGAGAGCTGCAAACTGTGGCCATGTAAATGAAGGATCTCTTTTTAAATTGGCTGCCAAGTGCTTCCCCCAGAGTATCAAGGCAATAGCATTACGATATACATTCTTTTCAATCATGAGTTTTTCAAAAAGTAAGAATAATTATATGCAGAAAATCAAATTATTCTATCCACATTGTTTAGTTAGTCAACAAATATTTATGTGCCAGACATAAATGCTAGAGGTGTCTAGTAGTGGGAGGAAAATTAGAAATAGAATATGTCTTTGAGGAGTTTATAATCTAATGTGTGCAGCAAATAAAACATGGGGATATGGACAATGTCCCCCGAGTCACTCCTTAAATCGAGTTGCTACTTATCACTGTAGACCATGTTGACAGCTCCTTGGGGTAGGGAGGGTGGGCGTTGCTAGATTATGAATCCTAATCATGAAGTCACGCAGGCCTGAGTTCAAGTGCAGGTTCTGTTGCTTACTAGCTGTGTGAGCTTGGACCAGTTATGTAATCTTTCTTAGCCCCAATTTCCTCATCTTTAAAATATTAGTAATTCCAGAAGATTGCTCTGATGATTAATAAAATAGCATTAGAACAACAATACCAATACAGTACTGGCACGTTGTAGGAATTCCATAAAAGTGAATTCACTTTCCTCTTCCTGCTCTCTGTACTTACCAAAGTGCCAGAAACTCAGAGGAATTTTTCTGGTTTTGTAACGCAACTGAAAATTGATCAAACAGTTGTTCCTAAATGATTCTGATATTTCACCTATTTTCTCATTTCCACGCCTTGAGACGGCCATCCGGACCTTGCCCATTCCCAGAGCCAGGGTGCCCATCTACTTTGTAGGCTGCCGGTCCCCCCGCGGGTAGCCAGGTGGTGCTCGGCGCGGAAGGCCTGGGTCCGAGCCTGCAGGCTGGGCCTGCGGGGTGAGCAGGCAGAGGGGCCCGGAGGAGAAAGTCGGCGCGGCCCCCGCTCTTCCTTACGCTGATTTATTGCCCTCCTCGACATTGAGATAAGCGCTAGCTTTCAGGCATGTTGAACCCTTTCCCTCTGCACGCCGAGGAAAATGTACTGTAAAGGAGTGAACGGGACTTCTGTTCTGCGTGGGAACACGCAGGACAGTCGCCCGCACGCTGTCCAGGGGACCGTGCTCTAGCTGCGGGCTTTTGAATGCTGAGGTGGGAGCAAGGCGGCATCCTGTGCTGAGGTGGGTGAGGAGCGGGCCACGGCTGCTTTATAAGCAGATCCATCATCGAAGCAAGCACGACTTTGAAGGGAGACAGAGCCATCGTGCCTGAGCGTCGCTTTGCGAGGCACTGAAAGATTGCCTGGCTCCGGCGGCAGGCACATTCCTCATCTCGTCTGTGGAGGATCTGCCTCCTCAAAGCAGTGAAATTGGTGCCAGAAGGTCACCCTAGGCGGCACTTTGCAATTCAGTTCTTTTTACCGCAGTTACGTGCAACCGCCCAAGGACTCTCTGCATCTTTCCTTTCCCAGGTTGACGAGGGAGGGAGAACCCCACTCTCATTTCACCATTTCTTTGCTGCTGATGACCAGGACAACCTCCAAGGCGATGCCGTCATTCGCCTGAGCGCTCTGCCCAAGTATGGCTGCATTGAGAACACGGGAACAGGTACCAGCAGTAGTTTTGCCGTAGAGTTATATAGACCTGAAAAAAGGAAGGGTGGAGGGGGTGACCGCCTCCAGTTAAACCTGGACCTGGGCAGCTGAGAGGAATGGGACCACTGCAAAGAAATGGCAGAGAGGAAGCTTTCAACCACTCAGCAGAGATTTACTGAGCATTTTCTGTGTGCCACACACTTTTTTAAGTACTAGGGATACATCAGTATACAAAACAGACAAAAACCACTACCTTCATGGTGCCTTAGATCCTGGGAAGGGCGGGGGACAGCCAGATTAGAAACCTAACAAATGAGAAAATTGTGTCAGATGTTAGGAGATATATCAATGTTATGGGGAAAAAATAGAGGAACAGGTTCCAGCAGTGGGGATGGAGGGCCTTGTGGCTTACACACAGAACTGAGTGTAAAGGAAATAAAATTTCTGTCTCTTTATTGTGAGGCCGCTGTAGTTTAGCCAAACCATAGCTTATGTCTGGGCTCCCCCTGAAGACGTGACGTGCACTGAAATGCATGCTTGTCTGTCTGTGACCCACTCCTCGGCATCCCTCCCGCCTGCCATCTGCCCGGGGCCCACTGCCCTGGGTGGTCATCACAGAGGAGAAGCGAGACGTGCCCGTGCAGGCCCCTGAGGCCGCCGTGCCCGGCAGCTGAGACGGCTCCCGGCGGTCGCCCTGCTGGTGCCTCTGCGGTGACACCCCGGACGCCAGCGCTTGGCTCTCACCGCGCGCAGCCAGCAGCGCCCGCCGAGAGGCCGCGGACTGAGGGTGCCTGTGGCCAGCGTGGGGCCTGAGAGTTGAGCCTGGTCCCCGGAAACTCAGTTAGCTGTGACCATGCTTTCCTGTAGAAAACCTTGGGTCTTTTCCCCATCTTGCCTTTCAGTGTGTGCACTTCCATTTCTTTATCATTGGATTAGATTTATCTCCACAAATGTTTATACTAGACACAGTGATGTAAAGGCTAATACGACACGGCCCCTGCCCCGAGCGGGAGACAGATACGAAGATGATAAATTACACGATACATAAAATGCCAGGGCAGGGAAGGGAGCAAAGCACTGAGAAGGGACATAGGGCAAAACAATTACCTTTGCCTGGAAAGGCAGGAAAAAGCCTAAGGAAGTGACATTTGAGTTGGTCCCTCAAGGGTTAGGGTGAGTCGCTGTAGGCAGAGGGAAAATGGCATTTCTTGCAGAGGGATGAGCATGGACGAGGGGAGGGGAAGCGGCCAAGGCCGGTAGCCCCTGGCCTTCTCTTCCTTCCAGATGGTTTCTTATTGAGCCTTCCTGGCAGGTTTTTACGTTAACCTGGAATGAATGCGGGGGAGTGTTCCACTGGCCTAGAGTCAAATTTCTGGTTCTCAAACTTTAATGTCCATAGACTCACAGAGAAGGCTTGTGAAAGCGCCATTTCCTGGGCAGCACACCAGAGCTCCTGCTGGAGGAGGTCGGCGAGGCCCATGCATTTGCACCTCTCACTGACTCACAGGCAATGCCATTGGTGCTGGTCCAAGCGCCACGCTTGGAAAACTGCTGCTCTACGTTAGTCTGAACCTGGAAGTAAGGAAGAGATGATCAGGGGGACAAATTATTGTCCCAAGGCACATCATTTAAGGACCCCGCCTTTTGCTCTATGGGTATTAAGAACCTGTTTTATGCATATGAAACTAGCTACCTAGATTTAGAATCCAGCTGATCAGAAGAATGTCTTTTTTAAAAACATTAGAAAGAGTAGCTTAAACTTCTTACTAGCAAGACTGGAAGGAACAGAATAATTATATTGTTAAGTATAAACTCTAACAGCATGGAGTCTACATTCATTCAGTACCAGCACAAACAGGACAGGACCCACCTTGATTCCCTCTAGGGCATCATTGTGTTCCAGGGCAATGCAGTAATAGATGCTCATAATGACAGCCTGCAAGCATTGAGAGCCATTTAATTTGCATATAGTCTATTTTGTTTAAGACAGAAGGGAAGTGCATAAGAACGATTTTTGTGGGGAAAAAAAAAGCTGCAGTTTTAAAAATTGGAAGGGTTGAGGCTCAATGCTTCAGTGATAGATTCACTTGTTGGATGGCTTATTTTCAAATGGCAGAAAATAAGTCATTATTCTGTTTGCATATGTTTTTAGGCATTATTTACTTTGTTATTTCTGACCCAAATAAAGAAGCCACATTTCTCACATTATAGCACTCAATGGAAAGAAAATATAAGAACTTGAAGGAATTAGAGTAGTTTCTTCTGGAAACCCTGAACTGTATGTCCTTGGGATTAGACTCCTCTATGCTTCTGGTGATGAGACATCAAATTTGAGGGATGAAATTTAAGAAAATTTATGTCATTGAAGAAGAAAAAAAGTGTATTGAGTTCTTAATTCAAACACATTATAAATAAAACTTTTTAATTCCTAGTCTTTCTGTTGAGAGGTCAACAAATATGACACTGTCTACAATTCAGGAAGTCAATGTCCTTTTAATATATGATGTGATCTTTGCAAAGGACTGTGGAAAAGGGAAAGAGAAAGGCTTGCTGCTTTTAGATCTTCATGTATACTTTCCTTTGCTGATATGTCCAGGGAATGTGTGAAGACACAGGGGTTTCTTTTTTCTCATTTTTTAGAAGAAAATGTGATAACAATTTGAAATCAATCCATTAGAGAGACTCAGATCAAGTCATCCATCATGGCAAGTCATCCATCATGTAGACAGTGCTTACTCTTCCCCTTGGTCTTTTACAGTCTGTGGGGTTGGGATGAAAGGAAGAGTTAACCAGAGGCAGTATTTACTATGGAGCACTGAGTGGTCCTTGAGCATCTCAGTACCTGAGTGGCACCTGAGCTCTGGGTGGTCCTTGAGCATCACAGGAGCCCTGATGGACCATCCCATGCTGTTTCCTTAAGGGACTGAGAGGTTGAATGAAAACATGCTTAAGGAGATGTTTCTGACATATAAAGGTATCTAGTCAACCTTTTCTTATGTAGAAAAAGAAGTTTTCTCTTACAGGATACGCCAACTAGAGTTGTCTTGAAATTGACTAAAGCTTAAGGTAGAATCTTTGCTATTGTGTCATTAATTGCCCCAAAACTTATCTCATCAAAGATTTGTAACAAAAAAACACAGATTCTGTGTTATATAAAATAGTAACCTTCTGACTGTTTTCATGCATATTATCTGATTTGATTTCTATGGAAATAGCAGGGCAGGTGTATCCATTAATAGATGAAAAATAGTGGAGAAACTGTGATCCAACACCAAGTCTCCCAATTCCTAGTCTTGTGCTCCTTCCACTCTCCCACCTTTATCCTCACAAATGCTTTCATCTTTTGTTGATAATGCTGTCATGTTTTCTGGTTCAGCCTAGTAACCAAGGATTGAAGGACCAAGATAAATGTTCTCTCCTGCTGTTGATGCAGGTGACCGTTTTGGCCCTGGAACTACCAGTGACCCAGAGGCATCGTTCCTGATTCAAGATGTACTGGAAAACTACATTTACTACTTTCAGAGTGTTCATGAAAGCATTGAGCCAACCCATGATATTTTTAGTTTTTATGTAAGTGATGGAAATAGTCGCTCAGAAATCCACAGCATCAATATCACCATCGAGGTAAAGACTTTGGAAGTTGGAAAAGTTGGGCCTTTGACCATAATATCCTACCGTGAAATAGCTTTATATAAACCCAAAGGCAAAGAAGATTGAATTTGACCTTCAGTTTTAGAGGTTAATTTGAAAAAATAACCCTAACCTACAGGAAATTTGTAAAATTAAGGCTGGCATTTGGGGATGCTCTGACCTTGAAATCTAAACTTCCATTTCAGGGTAAAATCTATTCTTTCTGTGTGAAAACACTTTGTAAAGGTCAGACAGAAAAACCTTGCCAATCTCATATTAAGATGAAAACTAACATGCCAATTTTTCCCTGAAATTATTGTATGTGGTTCTATGTGCATAGTTGCCTTTTTTTAAGTTTTTAATACATTTATTCATTAAATGGTAGCATCAAAGAACTGTGTTCCTTGATACTGTATTTATTCTCACTGGAGCAACTACTTAGGCTCGCTCTACCACCCCAGGGAGAGGGAGATAAAAGAGAAAACTCAGAATGGAATACCCTCTGCCTTGAGCAAATAAAACATATGGTACCTCAGCACCCTCCAGGGACAGTGTAGGGGTGGCACTGGCAGGGAGACAACTTTAAAAACCCACACTTTCAAATGTAGTGTCCTCCCACAGACAGCGATATGCTTAGGGTGTTCTAAGACAGTTCTGATCTCAAATAATGTGCCCTTTTATCCCCCAAATCTACTCATACTTGCCTAACCACGTGTCTATATTTTTGATCTGGAAAATATGATCATTGTACCTATGGAAAAGATCTGAGATTTGTGTAGAACGTCCACCCACTTCTTTTCAAGGAGACATTTTGTTTGTGTGACTTGCTATCCTATGAAACTGACCATTTTGATTGGAAGTTAAAGATGGTGACACATTAAATGCTCTTTTGATAGTGAGTGGTAGTGCACCCAATATTACTTTTTCTGAATAATGTGCCTTTTTCTCTCTCAAACCGCCATCTGTGTGAGACTAATATTTTATGCTTTAATCAGAGGAAGAATGACGAGCCTCCCAGGATGACCTTGCGGCCCCTGCGCGTGCAGCTGAGCTCGGGAGTGGTGATAAACAATTTTTCTTTGAGCCTGCAAGACCTGGACACTCCAGATAATGAGCTGATTTTTGTATTGACAAAAAAGCCCGACCACGGTAGGACACAACTGCTATATAAAGTTCCTTAATTGAGGTGCCCTGTGGCTTATTAGAATAAACACATGGATTCCAGGCAACTGTTTCTCTGCCTTGCCTGTATGTCATTCATTCTTTGCATCGCAGTACAAATCAACTTCACAGCTAGCTGGTATCCTTTGGGCTCACAGTAGACACTGGTTACTCTAAAAGCCTGAATCCTAGGTAATTGGTATTTCTGAAATTCAATTTCAGCTGTTTTCTTGCTTTCCTATGTAATCTCAGACAAAGCAGCCTTCAAAGTGTGCATATTCTCTTCTCAGAGAAAGAAAGCATCATCCCTTGGTAGTCCGTGGCCATCTTACACCAGGGACAGCCTTGCTATTAATTGCAAAAGTTGTTCACTGCAGATTCGAGGCATGGTCGATGTCTTTATGAGCTTGTTTCTTTTGCAAAAAAAAAAAGAGTCACTTTTCCTGATTAAACCAGAGGTAAAAGCCACCGTGGGGGTCTTCTACCTACTTCTTTTCTAAATGCCATCCCCCTGGTATTAGCTAAAGCCAGAACTTTCATCTCCCAAAGGTCCATCCTAACATCCATCCTTTGGTCTCTTAAGGATGAAACCGTTGTTGTTGATGGAGGGTTAACTGAAGAGGCTATTGGTCACTGCGTTTTAGCTAGCCTTCACTCACTTTCCTTAATGAAGCACTTGAACTGTTTCATTGTGATACACAGGACCCCGGAAAACAGCAAATTATGTCTCAACCCAAAGATGCTTAATGTCTTTCTGAATTTAAAAGGAATTCAAAGCATACCCTTATCTCGTATTCCAGATGCCCTAGGAGGAAGGCAGCCAGTGCAGAGTGCTATTTTCATGTCCAGAAGGGAAAAGTAAGGTTTAGATAATGAAATGAGTATGAATTCGTGGAGTGGGATCTGATTTCTAAGCCATTATATTACCACATCCATCTGTGTCTCCTTAAGAGACTTTTAACCAGGAAAGATGGGACTTTTTTTTATCTGTAGATGAGGCCACAGGGAAGCACCCTGTGCCTATTTATAAGATGCTAAGTTGCTGGTCATTTATGTGTGTGTCACCAAGAGCCTTAGAGGCGCTTGACACTCTATGCAGGCTCATACTATTGGACAAAATCAGACAATGTTTGGTGCCATATGTATTCTACCATTGCTTCTTTGCTTTTCTTCCTTCCTCAGGCCATCTCCGCCAGAGGCACACTGCTTCTGAGCTTCTGGAGAACGGGAGGATTTTAGACCAGGGCTCCTCCTTCACCTACCGGGACGTCCTGGGCGGGCTGGTGGGCTACACCCCTGGTGGGCCTGGCGTGGCCGTGGATGAGTTCCAGTTCTCTCTCACTGACGGGCTCCACGTGGACACAGGGAGGATGGCCGTACACATAGAGCTGCCGACGGGCAGCGCCCCCCACTTGGCTGTCAACCGAGGCCTGCAGCTCTCAGCAGGTACCAGAGCAATGGAAGAGAGTGGCTGTGGTTCTGTCAGTGTGCAGTGCTTCCTTCCACGTTAGCTCTGGGAGGGGATAGGAGCAATGTGTTCAGAACTCAGGGAGACTAGAGTTGGGGACAACTGTTGTTTTAGGGACACCAAAAGTTGTGAGTGACAAATGTGAATCTCTGAAACTCTTTGGGCCAGATGCCTATGTCTGTGAATTTGAGAAAAGGTTGAGAAGAGTTTATAGTATTTCCAAGGGTGAACATTGCCACTGTCCAGCCAACCCCACACAGAAACAACAAAAGAAAGCCAGCAGGATTTTCAACACAATTATTAGTAAATAAAATTTTTAAATGGCATGGTAGGGCAGTTGGGGAGCTGTCATGCACTAAAAGAGATTGTGCAAATAATTGAGAATCATTTGCTACGGTATAATAGGGTCGAACATTCACAATCTTGCTTATGTGTAAGCAACACTGAAGAACCTGTGGCACGTGTAGGTCTTGGAGTCAGATCGCAGTAGGATGTTAATTAGGGAGTGGGCCTTTTGCCCACAGAGCAGCCCCATCCCCTGGAGTTCTGATGGTTTATCTCTTCTTAGTTTCACATGTATTTTACAGCGAAAAATATGTAGTATAATGGTATTTGAAAACTTGGAGATTCCCAAAGCTCCCGAAGTATTAGGTCTGGGATTTAACTTTACCCCATTTACAAGCAATTAAGTGAGCCTGCTCATGTTTCATGGGTGCTGGTGGAAGACACAAGATCCCTGGGTCCAAGACCAAGTACTTTGTTACTCACAGCATAGCAGGTGGCGTTGCCATCAGCAAGTTTGCGCTGGTTCTCCCTGCCCTCCGAGTCTTGTGGTGGTGGTGCAGAGGGCCCAGGTGGGTGCCTGCATGTGCACTGGGATGCACTACAGGAGAAGCACACTGAGCTTGGGAAACTCCCTGTGTCATAATAAGCAATAAGCAAGCCTGATTTTTGTCCCAGAGGAAGACATCACCTCATCCCCGAGAATGACTTAGGTGACGAGTGGTCAGGCCTTGCATTCTTGGCATTACCCGGCAAGAGCATGCAGGGGCACTCAGGGCTCATGGTGGATTGTCTCTCCAAACACCAGGGTGACTAGGATCTACTTTACCAGAATTTACTATTTTTAATATGAGAAAATGGCTGGACAGAAAAGCAAGGGGCGAGGCTCTGAGAAAAGGTATTTGCCAGTAGCCAGTGCCTTGCCTCGCAGGGCCCGGGGCTCAGGTCCCCCTGTTCTGTCATCCTCACAATATCTTCCGTCTTGAGGAACAATGCTTTTGACTATTTGGTCTGAGTTGGCAACCAGCTATGCTTGTGAGTTTATTTAAAGCAGTTTTTTATGATTTGATGATCCTCAAGACAGTAAATAAATTAGGTCCAAGCAGGTTTTATCACAGTCTAGCTGTGATTTACACCGCAGAACAAGGAGTTAGTACATTTAGGTACTGATAGGCTGTGGGACTGGCGCAAGCTTAATGAGAGAGTAGGAATGGATCAGAAGAGAAGCGGCTCAGATGGAAACTCCAGGGCTGACTAACAAGTGGGCGGTTGGGAAATTAACACCTATTCAGAGGGAAACAGAAGGGCAAGCACCTGGTGCTTAGCCCCAGAGAACGTGTGATAATCTCTCCCGTCTCCTGGAGTCATTGGACATCCTGCTCAGATGACCTCCGTCTCCCATTCTCTCCCAGGGTCTACAGCACGCATCACAGAACAGCACCTGAGGGTGACAGACACTGACTCAGATGAAAGCCGTGTGACGTTCATCATGAAGGAGGATCCCGGTGCCGGGCGCCTGCAGATGGTGGAGCACGGCAACCTGGAGCAAATCTCCGTGAAAGGCCCTCTCCGGAGCTTCACCCAGGGGGACATTAGCCAAGGTCAGCCAGTGCCCCTCCGCCCACCCAGACTCCACCCACAACGGGGACGTGGGAGTTAAGTGCCTGGCAGCCATGGCAGTAAACTGTACACTCTTAGTTTTGAATAAGAGCTGAGTTATAGCTTCATTTATTCTTTCTTGTCTCCTCAATTTTTTTTATTTTTATTTTTAAAAACTATCGTTCTTGGCTAAAATGTGTGCATCCTTTGACATAGCATTGATGAACTTTGGGGCTGTCGTGAAGGGGAAAAATCATCTGACTTGCTGTGATGTTAAAAAGTGTTATGTGAGAGAGGAAGAAGAAAAAGAAGTGGATTGGGATGGATTTAGGTGCAAATTATGCCTGCCTTAGGTGAGCAATTTATATCTCTTTTCTGCTCCCCAAAGAGCGCAAGTTAATGAACTAAGCAAAATGGAAGGGCATAAATCGGAGCTGCCTGGGGGAGATTACATAGCTCATCCCTCCTCCAGGAAATGCTGATGTAATGGAAAAGCATAAATGTTAAATGCTACCTAGTTACTGTCCAGTGCTTTCAGGGGTAAAAATGGGGGAAGTTACATATTGTGGGAGAAAGTAATTCAGCATCATCTGATGCTGTGCAATTCCATTTAGAGGTGGAAATATGCCCCCGAGGAGCAGCGGAAAATAAGGGTCCTGTCCATGCACCACCACGTAAAGTTGGAAGCAGCCCAATTCTCATTGGGCCTGTCTGAACTTTAATGAAGGGGGCAGAATAGGCAAAGGGATAGTCATTCCTTAATTACTCCTTGTGTCAGTGTCTCTTTTTTAAAAATGAGGCCAGGCACCTCTTCCCAGAGATCTGGTTATATTCACATCACTAGGTATGTAGAAGTGATGTTGTGGGTTCACAACAATGTAACGCATCGCACTTTCCCCATTGGGTCCTTCTGACTTCTGTGTAGAGCTTATTTGTTCTGTTTATTTATTTACTTGTTGGTTGGTTATATTTCATGTTGTTCCAAAAATGATTTAAGGCTGTACTGAGAACTGGAAATGATACTTTCTGGGAGAGTGTGGGCTGCAGCTCCGCATCCTCTTGTCCCATAACGTGGACATATTGACAGGGTCACACAAGTGACGTGGATGTGGACTGCACATTTTCCACATGGGCAGTTTTGCTGATCTGGTTATTTCATGAGACGTCCTCAGACTTTTTCCCAAAAGCTGAGCCTCAGCCATAAGCAGTGCTCTTTGGGGTAATTTTAATACGAGGGGTCTCTATGAGAAGTCCATAGTGGGAGAGGAAAGGAAGAATGAAAACTTTAGATTAAAATGTCAAAAATAATGTGAAAGTGAGGAAGGTGTTAATTGATTCCTTGGTGTGGATACCAGTCGAATTCCCACCTCGCCCTTCAGAAATAAGAGCAGAAGCATTAACAGCAAATCTTGATTTTGTTGTTCTTTTCACAGGCCGAGTAGAATACAGTCACCGAAAAGGAGAATCTGGTGGGAGCTTTCATTTTAAATTTGATGCGGTCGATGGAAAAGGCAACAAACTGATCGACCAGTCATTTTCCATCAGTGTTTTGGGTAAGGGAGCATTTGTGTGTAAAAATACGTCAGCAGCTCAGAGGCTAAATAGTCTCTACTGTGATGGCCTTGAGGCTAAGCCTTTCCTTTACCCAACCGGTAAGGAAGCCTGGGATCGCATCCTCACTGCCCGATGAAGCTCTGGCTCCTCGGGCTCGCTCTCTCCCTGAGGGACAGACGCCTGAGGACTGTTCTGATCTTATCCCTGGGCACCAGGTCTGGAAGTGAAGAAAGGAGGCTGAAAATATCCCGTCTCAAATCACTATTTCTAATATTTTCAGAAGACAAATCCCCACCAGTCATCACCACCAATAAAGGGCTAGTGTTGGATAAAAACTCGGTAAAGAAGATCACCACTCTGCAGCTGTCTGCCGCTGACCAGGAGAGTGGGCCTGCAGAACTAACCTTCAGAATCACCAAGCAGCCCCAGCTAGGCCACCTGGAGCATGCGGCCTCACCAGGTAAGCCTGTTGTCGTTGCTTCATCAAACCAAAAGTTGGCCTTGAGTCAGCATCAGGGGCAGCCCCAGCATGTACACACATGCACCTGCAGTCTATTACTATTTATTTTTTGCATCACTCATCTTGACCATTATATACTATCTTACATTATGCTTAGCACACAGTAGGTGCTCCAGAAATGATTTGCTGAAAGTTGAATTAATATTTGCAATTTTATATAAGCAATCTTGTCCTCATAACTAGATTGTCAGTTTCTTTAGGGCGAACACTGCATCCTGTTCTTCTTTTAAAGTCTTTGAGCACCTGACATGGTGCAATGCACTGTGCTTAAAAGTTTAATTCAGCAAAGAGCAAGTGAGCATGTACATTGAGCAAGATTCTAGTTTAGCTGCTGCTGGGGAAAGAAAAAGAAAAAGATAAATAAAATACAGTTCTCCCCTTCCAGAGTTTTCTACTGGGTGAGATAAGGAATCTCTTCCCTGCAGATAACCATAACCCAGGGAAGATCATGGCAGGTGTTTTAAGAACTGTGGAAACCTGGTGTCCAAAAGTGGGAGAGGCGACGCCAGGTGGGAAGGTGCCCGGCGGTGGCATTTAAGAGGGTCGGCAGACAGAAATTTTGCTATTTCCAGAGATGGGAACAGCGTGTGGGCTCGTGGGTAAATTGACATTTTATGGAGGGTCTTCAAATCTGAGATAAGTAATCCCTATTTCATTCAATTGGCAATGGGAAGTGACTGCAGACTGTTGAGGTGGGAAAGGAAGTGAAATTTATCTCGTGTCCAACAGAATGAACCAAAAGAAGGAAAAAGGAGGCAGTGACAGTGGGTAGGAAGTTTCCCATTCAACCAGGTGGAAACTAGTGAGGCTCACCCGGGGGGCAGTAGTGGAACAGGTAAGATGAGAATGTATGAGATGATACCTGGTACCTAGTACGTTCAGTGAACAGCGGCTGGTTGACGGAAGGAGGGAGAGAAGGGAGGAATTGCAGGAAGAGAACCCTTGGGTCATGGCAGTGGGAGGGAGGCAAAGGACGAGATACTTGCAGAATAAACAGTCTAAAGGTAGAATTATCTTTATTTCATACATCATACAGGCAGTGGCAGCTGGCAGGAGATTTAGAGCTTCAGTGCTGCTTTTTTTTTTTTTTTTAATTTTAGGCTAAAGAGTCTTCATTCAACCAGGGAAATATCAAAACAGGGGAATTGCTTGCCCCAGTGGTGCTCACCATATAATGCAGGGAGCCAGACAGTAAGCAGACAAGCAAGCGAATACATCATGTATCACTGGGGATGAGTGCTGGGGGAGAAACAAGGGCATCACCAGGGTGCCCAGGGAGCAAGGGTGAGGGCGGGCCTCCCTAATAATAAGATGACATTTGAGCAGAGAGCTAAAGAAAAGGAGGAAGCCAGCCGCTCTGGCAGATAGGAAAGAGCGTGCCAGGCAGAGGGACCAGCGAGTGCGAACATCCAGACTCAGGATCAGCCAGGCACATGGCGTCCCAGGCGCAGCAAGACCAGCGTGCCTGCAGCCGTGAATGAGGGAGAAGGCCCTGGGAGACCAGCTGCCAGAGCTGGAGGGCGATGTGGCAGGGGAGCTGAAGAAGGCAGACCCTGTTGGGTCCAGGTGATGCTAGAGGAAGGAGGGCCGTATGCCTATGTGGGAGGGCATGGGGAGGGCATGGGGAGGGATGGACACATTGGCCAAAACCCTAATGCAAATTAAAGCAGGTGGCCTACCCTTTTCTCCCCCAGTCCCCGGGGAAGTATGCAGATCAGCGCTCCCGAGACCTTGGCTGCATGAGCTCTTCGATAACTAATTCATGAGCTAATTGCTTCTGCCAGAATCCTGGCAGGTTGCTGATTGTTTCCCTGCAAAGATGAAAGGGCCGACCCTTGGCTGTTTTGTTGGGCAGCTGCATGCACACTGCTCAGGGCTGTGGGAGGCTCTGAGCTTCGTGCGGGACACCGCCCCTGCCCAGGCTGGTAAACCCCAGCCCTCGCTCGTCTCCGACCCTGGGCTGCGCTGAGCCACGTGTGAGGCTGCTCCAGGTTTGCCTTTTCGTGTTCACAGTCTCGCCTTCACTAGGCTCCAGCTCTGTCTGCTAAGCCCAAGCCAGCACAGCTCAGGGAGCAACCCGTGGGTGAACACCCTTCCCCCTCCTCTTGGGAAGGTGCCCTCCCAAAGTAGGGGCTGACTCTCTACCTGGGACTCTTCCTTCACCTGCCCTTTTCCTCCAGGTTTGACTTCCTAATCCACGATCTACCGCCCAGACCAGTTTTTCTCAATTTGCCTGTTTCTAGTAACTCTTAAGTAGGCCAGATACAAAATGCAGTCCCCTCCCTGTTAATCTTGGGGGCCCCTCCCCATTGCGGATAGGGCAGGGCTTCCTGCCCCTCCCTTACTATGGACCCCACGCTGTTCTTTCTGTAGCATTTCATCAGCGTCCTCTCCTTCCCTGTCTCCCCTGAGTATGAATATTTTCATGCAGTTGATGCTATTTAAATGCCAAAGGCCTCCCTTCGGAGGAAGTCCTTGTTGATGACTTATCTTCCTCTCTTCAGGCAGCTGGCTACAGCTTGAGCAGCGCCTGCCCTGGCCAGGTGGCTCTGGTGGTTGGGGTGTCACCCTGTACACCAGAAAGTTGCAGGTTTGATTCCCAGTCAGGGCCTGGATGGGAGGCAACCATTTGATGTTTCTCTCTCACATCGATGTGTTCTTTTCCTCTCACTCTCTCCCTCCCTTCCTCTCGCTCCAAAATCAATAAACGTATATTTGGATGAGAATTTTTAAAAAGTTTTTAAAGGAAAAAAGAGCCGCAGCACCTCACCCACCTCTCCCCATTTGTCCCGGTGGGTGATGTCCCTCCCAGGAGTTGGGGTTGGCTGGACCTGGTCTTTCTGAGAAGACAGAGCAGCTGCCAGGCCCGTGTCTGTAGTGCAGGCGCTAAGCTACTCTGGGACCAGTGCCTCTTGCGAGGATCACTTGCCACCAGTGTTCGCAGACATCCTCCTGACGGCTCGCTGTGAAGTGGACCGATTCGCGTGCTGCCTTCCCTGGCCAGCCCAGGGTGATTGACTGTCCTCTCTAGATAGACAGGAAAGCTGGGGACCTCTTTTCTTCCCCTGAGGCGATGTCGGGAGCCACCTGCCTGTGGAAACTGGAAGACGGACGCGGCCTCCTCCCACCGAGGAGCTGGGAGCCTGGTCCCTCAAGTGCTCCAGCCACACCCTCACATCAGGGACCCCAAAGACTCTCTTTTTCTTGGTAAACCAGAGAAGAGAATTAAATTATTAGGACAGAAACTAAACTCCTGGAATAGAGACTTCAAAGTACAGTGCCTGAAACAAGAAGTTTTATTTTCCCTGACAGAAAAATCGAGGGGCAGGTGGCCCAGAAGGCCCAACATGAGGCTCCCATTTCTGGTCTAACAACTACTGTAGCTGTTGTCATCCCCCTGCCAGCAGTGAGGGAGAAAGGCCAGGGGAGCCCACTTCCATTTCCTTCCAGGAGTATTACTAGAAGAGCACTCGTCTCTTTTGGTCACATCCTGGTGGCAAGAACGCAGTCACACCGAGCTGTGAGGTGGCTGCGAAATGCAGACCCTAACCGGGATCTGGTTGCTTAGCTAATAGTCAGGAGTCGTATTTTTAAAGTAGGAGAGGAGTCGTATTGGAATCTGGCAATCTCGGGCAATCTTGGTTCCCACCTGTATTTACTGGGTAGCTGCTGCAGGAAAAAACATGGTTCAGAAGTTGCTGACATGCAAAGAATAGGTGCAGGTGTGTTTTAGTAGCTGTGACAGCAACGTGACAGGACAGCAGAAGCCCAAGGACAGCCAGTTCTACCTAAGAGAGGGCTGGGGAGTCGGGAAAGACTTCCCAGAGGTGATCTTGAGCAGAGGTATTCTTTGGTTTTCTCTTGACCGCAGCCTCTCTCAGTATTATGACCCAACCAAAAGAGGATGCACCCATTGTCTTAGCTTGGGTTCTCCCTGAAAGCAGGGGTATGAGCCTGCTGGGGCTGCCGTCACGGGACCACAGGCTGTGCAGCTTCAACAGAAATGTGTTGTCTCACAGATGTGGGGGCTGTAAGTCCAAGACTATGGTGTCCGTAGGTTTGGTTTCTTCTGAGACAAGGATCTGTCCCAGACCTCTCTCCCTGGCTCATAGATGGCCATTTTCATGTCCACATGGTGTTCCCCCTATATGCGTATGTCTATGTCAGAGTGTCCCCTTTTATAAGGACAATAGTCATACTGGATTAGGTCTCACCCTAGTGACCTCATCTTAACTAATTACATATGCATTGATCCTGTTTCCGAGTAATGCCACATGTGAGGTACTGAGGGTTAGGACTTCACATATGAATTTGGGGGGTGGGCACAATTTAGCCCATCACTGGAGGCTTTGAAGAAAATCTGCAGCAGAAAAGCTGAGAGTCTCCCATGGTGTGAGCCTGCGGAGGGACGCCGGTGGCATGCACAGAGCCCTCCTGGCCATGCTGAAAGCAGGAGGTGCAGGCAGTCACTTAACCTCCGCTTAGGAAGGCACTTTCTTCAAAGCTGCTTTGTTCCCACACCCCTTCCCTGGCCTGGACAAAATTTTCTCTCATGTGCTGGCTTTCCAGGGGAATTGGGAAAGCTGACAGGGTTAACGTGGGTCTCCGCAGTGCTGCCAGAGATCTAGTGTAGCCAGCAGGTTGGTCACTGCAAATACCTTTGTGGGATTAAAAGCCTTCAGCATATTTCAAACAGTAACTACCTGCTGTGACCACCAGCAGGGAGAACATGTTATTAGAAACACCGTCTTGCTGGTAAGTAAGTAGCTGAAGTCTTCCAATTTCCAATTAGCAAAGGCTAAAACTGGAAGAAAAAAAAAGTATATACAGGTTGAAAATCATGCTCAATAGGTAGGGCCTCTTAATATAGATTATAGTGGGTGAGTTAAATTCTTTCACCAATTATGTTTTAAGTACCTACTGTGTGCCAGGCACCATTCTAGTTGCATGTTGGGGGAGAAACCACCAAAATGCTTGTCCCCTTGAAGCTTACATTCTAGGTGTAGCTTATTACCCTCTGGCAATTAATTATTGATATGTAATGATAATATTAAGTACCTCATCAAAATCAGTATTTCAGATTAGAGAAAGGTTATAACCAATCAAGTATAAGAAACAGTTCAATTCACAAATATTATAATGGTGATATTTCAGTGATAGATGTATGAGTGGTTTTTGTGATTCTTTACTACTTTTCTATGCTTTTCACATTTTCTTTAATAGACATGTATTACTTTTATATTGAAAAGAAATTAAGGGATAAGGGTAATATCCAAGAGGCTCCTTGTCTGGTCTGAAAAGGCTACATAAGTTTTACAAAAAAGTACTCCTAGCAGGCATAAACTTTGGAGTTAGACAACCTTGAGTTCCAGTCCCAGCTCTGTCCTCGTATTAGCTATGTGACCTGGGATAGGTCACATTGCTCTTCTAATTGTATTACTGTGTCCTAATCTATAAAAAAGAGGTAACATGCTAACCTTGAATTCCCAAAGTTGTTAAAAGATAAAACCTAAAATATATAAGCAAGCCTGAATTAGTGCTCTGCACATGGTAGGTGTTCAGGGTTTTCTAGATAGAATTGGGGAAGGCCCCCTAGGATCAAGCCCAGAGCTCTCATGCACTGCTGGTAGGAATGGAAAGTGGTACTACCTCCTTTGGAAAATCGTTTTTTAGTTTCCTAAAGAGTTAAGTATGCACCCAACATATATTCCAGCCACTTCAAGAAGAATGAAAACTTATGCCCATACAAAGACTTATACACAAATGACCATAGCAGTTTTATCTGTAATAGCCTCAAACTGGAAATAATTGAAATGTTCATCAATAGGTGAGTGGAAAAACCAACCATGACACATCCACACAATGGAATACTACCTGGCCATAAAAAGGAATGAACTGTTAATACATGGTACAATATGGAGGAATTGCAAAATAATTATGCGAAGTGAAAGAAACCATGCATAAAACAGTACATAGTGTATGAATCTATTTATAAAACAATCAGAGAAAATGCCAACTAATTTAGAGTGGCAGGAAGAAATTTATTTATTGCTTTGGGATAGGGTAGGGGGTGGGAAGGATGGGAGAATTAGAGTGTCACTGGAAACTTCGGGGGTGATGGATAGGTCTACTATTCTGATTGCAGTGGTGATTTTATGGATGTGCCAAAGCTTATGAAATTGTACACTTTAAATATGTGCAATTTGGTATATGTCCATTTCCTCTCAAAAATGCTTTAAAAGTCAGTCCCAGCAGTTCCTTCCCAAGAGGAAGGAAAATCCTATCACCTCTCTCAGTCAGTCTTAGACTCTCATAAAGAGAAGAGTGAATTAGGTGACCAGTGGATTGTGAGAATCCAGACAAGCATTTCCCCATGAGCTATGGGGATGGAGTCACAGCGGGGGAAGAGATTTAAATTTCTCAGCGCAGCCGGTCTGAAGTTATTAAATTTTTAAAGAATGGTATGGATTTCTGTCCAGACCACAAGACAAAGCAATAAGACAGAGGGCTACATTTTTTTTGCCTGTCAAGAGCTGATGTAGCAAACACAGAAATATAAAATGCCTCATCAAAAAATTAATGCCCCAACATCAGGAGGCTATTGTATCTAGGCGACAAATTTCAGATGATAAAGAGATGCAAATGTAAACCATGTGGGTTTATTTTATTTTTTTAATATAGCAACAACACTGGTGTCACAGTCAAAGTAAAATCTCTGGGGTTGTGTTTGTTTTTTTTTAATAGAAAAGCTAAACTGGTTTTGCCAGGATTTACAATAACAAATAATAAATCCTAGGCAGCAACAAATGAATTGCAGGACCAAACAGAAGGATTAGGCTAAATGGATTAATACCCCAACACTCATATCAGACAAAGGAAATTGGTGCTGAGGGTCAAAAAGATGTGATTTTGTGTCAGTCTTGGCTGACACCAGAGGATGAGTCCCAGAGCCCTAAGATGGATGCAAGAATTCTGCGCTAAATGTTGTTTGACATTTAAAAACATAGAGATGTTCACTTGTGGGAGACTTTGGCATTATTCAAAATCACTTTAGATATTTATACTTTTAAAACGACTCTGAAAAAAATTAACATCTTTTCTATAGTGTTGTTAAAGGGTAGTGGTTTTCTAGGTTGTTTTAGAGTTGATACAGAATGATTGCCCAGAGCCCAGAGTCATGCACAGTGAGTCTCCTGTCAGCCCAGCTAGCATGAGAGGCCGGAATCATACGCCTCGAAGGGGACCTTGAAGAATATCCAGTGAAAGGGGAGGCCGGGGAAGCCCACCGGCCGCAGAAAGCCGAGCCTCAGCAGCCAGCGTTCCCATTACACAGTATTAAAAACTAGGGCAGGCTGTCGGGAAGGGCTGCGGGGCTGGGGGGATTTAAAGCTTAAGAGAGAGGAGCCTGGAGAACAAGGCGATGGAGGGCTGGACCTTTCACAGATTTGACCTGCGTACAAAAGCCCGAGAGAAAGGAGAGTAGCACTGATTGAGCAGCTGCGGTTGGCCTGGCGCAGCAGAAGCCTAGAAATGGCGCGCACAGGCGCTCCCACAGAGCACGCGCTGCTGTGGGAAAAGCGTGCGAGCAGCTCTAAGGCCAGGTCTGGGGGGGGGCCT